CGCTTTAAAGGTGGTAACTAACACCTTAAAGCGCACCCGGAAGGCCACTGGCAACCAGTGCAGCTCGCGCAGCAGCGGTGTCACATGGGAGCGACGAGTCCCTCCCAACACCGCCCGCGCGGCCGCATTCTGGACCATTTGAAGCCTCCGGGTGCTCCTCAAAGGGAGCCCCATGTAGAGAGCATTACAGTAGTCCAGGTTGAAAGGAAGTTTGGAAATCTTTAGGCTACTCGCTAGTGTATGGATTGAAAATGTGCAGAAGGGCTAATAATAATAATAATAATAATAATAATATTGACAAATTCGCTATTAGTCAATTGCAAAAGGTGGCCTTACTAGGAACTGCTTCTATCCTGCGACGAGATCTGTAATACCATCAATTCAGACATCCACATCTGCCTATCCCAGGTTCTTCGGAAGGACTCGATAGGTAGACAAAAATGCCAAATCCAGTCTGAACATCTGGCTGACTGTGTGAGGATCCATAATAATAATAATAATAATAATAATAATAATAATATATATATATGATATATATAATGTTGGAAGGTACCTTAGAGGTCATCTAGTCCAACCCCCTGCTCAGGCAGGAAACCCTATACCAGGGGTAGGCAACCTTGGCCCTTTTATGGCTCATGGACTTCAACTCCCAGAATTCCTCAGCCAGCCTGGCTCAGCGTGGAAACCTCTCCCTTTCCCCTCAGCATGGCTGGCTCAGGAATTCTGGGAGTTGAAGTCCATGAGCCATAAAAGAGCCAAGGTTGCCTACCTCTGGTCTATACCATTTCAGACAAATGGCTGTCTGTTTTAAAAAATCACCAGTGTTGAGCATTCACAGCTTCTTGGAGGCAGGTGGTTCCACTAGTTAATTCTTCTAACTGGACCATTCCTCCAGCAAAACCATCCTTGCCAACATTGGCAAAGCTCCCGTACCTTTCTGGTTCCTTTAAAAATGCTTTATAAAATTAAATCAGCAGGGAAGCGATGTCTCCAGATTTGAAGAAGAAGAGCATAGAAGAAGGAGTGGCCTTTGATTTCCATTAGAGGAAAGTTTATAATAATTGCTTTGCCCCTTCTTTTAACGCGAAGCATAGTTTAAAAAAAAACAAACGAAGGGCTTTGGTGACAAAGGAGAATTCCATGCAGTTTAATTTTTGACTTTTTTCTTTTTTGCATTTATGAGCAGAAATCTAGGCATAAACAATGCCTCTAAATCAGGTAGTCCTCAGTTTGCAACCTTCAGCCAGAGTTTCATTCCGTACAGCATTTAACCTTGTGAACTCTCAAGCTTCCTCCTTCTGTTATATATTCAAGATGGACAGTATTTAATATTTATTTGCTACATATATGTAGGGGTGTGGGGTCTATACATATGTTGTTCATAGTATGTTTAGGTGTGCATCATGTATGTGTTTCACTTTGAGAGCGGGCAACTAAATTTCATTTTTGACATGTGCCGTTGTGCCCACAGTAAAAAAAATGACAATAAACGTTATCTTATCTTAGTTTAGTGATTGTTCTAAGTTAAAACAGCACTGAAAAAAGTGACGTGTCTGGTCCTCCATTTACAGCCACCCCAGTGTGGTGTCCAAAATCACATGCTCAAAATTTGGGTCCTTGTTAAGGCTGTATTGTCAGTTCCGCTTACACACGTTTGACACCGCAAAGGACATCTGTGGTTCATTAGCAGATCTTTGATAAGCTGTTATCTGCCATTAATTTACTCTTGGCTTGAACTGAAAGGGTGCAGCGAGGATTTGCCGAGAGAGAAAGGGGGGGAGGGTGTGGGTGTGATTGTGATTTTGCAGGGTGGGTGGGAGAATTATGGCATACAAGACATCACAGCCTAAAGCAGTTTTGCGTCTTCGCCTGTTACTTTCACAACTGATTTGGCTGGCCTCGCTCCATGAATAATATAAATTGTTGGCAATTGGGAGAAAGTGGATAGTGTTGCTGCAAAGATGGATCTCAAGTAAATGTTCTTAGTTGATCCCCTCGGTGTAGAATTCCATCTTTACGGAGGGTTTAAGAGGTCACGTAGAACTGGGGCCTGTTCACTCCCAAATCCTTGTTCACATCTGATGGTTACGATTTGGGAGTGAGGCCGTGAAGCCTCCATCGACTTGAAGAGACCCAGTGGCCAAATATTTCTCTTAAGTGACGGTGCGATCCCTGGATCATCTTCTAAGGAAGATGTGTGGACTTCAGTTCCTGGGGAATTCTGGGAATTGAAGTCCAGTTGCCAAAGTTGAGAAACACTGTCCTAAGATGAAAGACACGGTTGAACTTTCACGGAAAGAGCGAAAATCTGGCCGCGTTAAAACAGAAACACTAGGATTTCTTTTTTTACAAATGTGTTTTTAAAACATTTTCTGGGATAATTTGCTAAAGTGCATTTTGGAAAATGGATACGGTCTCGAGATTTCTCCCTTGGTTCCATTTTGATCCAAAAAGGTTTTGAGAAATAACGAAGTTCATTATAACAGGAGGGGCGAGACAATCTGTTGTTACACAAAGGGCGTTGAGGTCTCTTTTCACAGTGGTGTTGCTACAAGTCACGTCATTTATTATTCTATATTCACTGTTATTCTGAATTTGTCTAACATAATCATTAAGTAAATTATGTTTATGGGGGGGGGGGGAAACCCAGTCCATTTTACAGATAGTCCTTCACTTATGACCATAACAATCATACTCATTATGGACATGTGTCACGATGATCATAAAACAGACCACCCATGAGACTGACCCGATATTATTATTATTTTTGCAGTGGACATTAAGCAAACATAACATTTATTAAGCAAACACGGCAGTTGTTAAGTGAACTGTTGTTTCCTATTGGGTGTTTTTGTCAAAAGTGGAAATAAATGCTGATTTTCAGCAAAAAAAACCATCCTAAATTGGGATCACGTGACTGCGGGTTGGTTGCGGTCATGTGACTGCAGGGGAGGGGCTTGGAACTTCAGAACTGGGTCATACGTATTACCTGGACAGGTCTGTCATAACCTTGGTCACTAAACGGCTGTCATAAGTCGAGGACTTCCTGTATTCAGGCCTGCTAATCTGTTTCCGTCCAAACGCTGGCCTTTTTGTGAGGTTAACCTTAGGTGTTCTCTCTCTTTTGTCTCCTAGATTCCCAAGTTCTACAGGAACCCGGGGATCTATCACACTGGTGCGTGGTGGCCTATTGGGAGGAGAAGACCCGCGTGGGGCGCCTGTATTCGGTCCAAGAACCTTCCCTGGATATCTTTTACGATCTACCTCAGGGGAACGGCTTCTGCCTCGGACAGCTCAATTCGGACAATAAGAACCATTTGGTGCAGAAGGTCCGAGCCAAGATCGGCTACGGCATCCAGTTGAGCAAGGAAGTCGACGGAGTATGGCTTTATAACCGCAGCAGTTATCCGATTTTTATCAAGTCGGCCACACTGGACAACCCGGATTCCAGGACGTTGTTGGTTCACAAGGTGTTTCCGGGCTTCTCCATCAAAGCGTTCGATTATGAGAAGGCGTACAGCTTGCAACGGCCCAACGACCACGAATTCATGCAGCAACCTTGGACCGGTTTCACGGTGCAGATCAGCTTCGTGAAAGGTTGGGGCCAGTGCTACACCAGACAGTTCATCAGCAGTTGTCCGTGCTGGCTGGAGATTATTTTTAATAACCGATGACTTCCCGAGACACCCAACCGCAGGCCTTCCCGAGCTCGGCCCCTTGAGGAAGAGCGGACTTCAGCTCCCAGAATGCCATCCAGCCAGCAAGGGGTTCTGGGAATTGGACGTCCACCCTTCTTCCAGGGGCCAAGCTCCGGGAACCGCTTGCTCCACAGAGACATTTTATAATGACTTTGCTGCTAAAATGTTTCCTTTTGAGTGCTTGCTATGGTGTGCAAACGTTTTTTGTTTGTTTGTTCTGTTTCGAGAAATAGCTTATGGGAAGATTTTATTTTTCTCTCTCCCTCCCTCCTTTTCTCTCTCTTTTTATTTTGGGGGGCGGGGTGGGGGTTGGATTTGGACATACTTTTTGAAACGTAGAGGACCGACAACCCGGAAGGAGAGGAGAGTCCCGAGGAGGTTGGGGGAAGGTTTAAGTTGGACGTGGCTACTGAGAAGACCCTTCAGTTTCTTTTTCAATTGCGATTCAATCAATCCTTAATGAAGTAGGAGTTGCAGGTTGCCACCTTCCACAGCTTGAATTCAGGCTGCGTTCTCGCCTCCCTTTGTGACGGCTCACACGTTTCTCCAGCACTTGGAGATGGAGAATCCACCATTGGAATACAGTCTACTACCCAATGGTGGATTCTCCATCTCCGTGCTGAGAAAAGGCGTTCAGGTAAGACAACGCCCCTTCTCCAGCACTTGGAGATGGAGAATCCACCATTGGGTAGTAGACTGTATTCCAATGGTGGATTCTCCATCTCCGTGCTGAGAAAAGGCGTTCAGGTAAGACAACGCCCCTTCTCCAGCACTTGGAGATGGAGAATCCACCATTGGGTAGTAGACTGTATTCCAATGGTGGATTCTCCATCTCCAAGTGCTGAGAAAAGGCGTTCAGGTAAGACAACGCCCCTTCTCTCCAGAAGAATCCTGTCGTTTCCCCGCCAAATACACACCTTCTTTGCACACTTGGGGGACATTCTGCTTATTTCAGCAGACCTTCTCAATCCACACTTAGAAGTGCCCACCAGTACACCAAGATCTGGTTTCCTTCAGCGACCATAGATGGAGCTCGGTCTGGAGTTTTATCGGGCTTGCCAAGGGGATTGGTAGGACAGATTCCTGCAAGCTGTGACCGGTCGTCCTCGTCTTAACGACCATTCGTTCAGTGACCGGTTGCAAAGTGTGATCCTGGGATTCCCCTTTGGCAAATTTTCTGACGAGCAAAGCCAATGGCGAAGCCGGATTCGCTTAACAACCAAGGCTACTAACAACAGGGTTTCCTGCCTGACCAGGGGGTTGGACTAGATGACCTCCAAGGTCCCTTCCAACTTTATTAAAATGGGCCCAAACTCGCTTAAAACTGTCTTGCTTAAGGACAGAAGTTTGTGGGTCGTAAAGGTCGTGGTCGTAAAGCCGAGGACCGCCTGTCTTTCGTTGTAGAACCAGGTAACAAACGGTTCTGCATCATAATCTGTCCTCTTCAACCGCTCCAAGATCCCTTCCTTCTGCAAACTTTAAACCACGTGGATCTCTCTACGTCAGTGTTTCTCAACCTTGACAATTTTAAGGCATGTGGACTTCAACTCCCAGAATTCCACAGCCAGCATTGCTGGCTGTGGGATTCTGGGAGTTGAAGTCCACATGCCTTAAAATTGTCAAGGTTGAGAAACACTGCTCTACGTTGCTGCAAGTCATCCCATCTGTTGCAAGAGAAGATTGCAGGGATGGAGCTGAGGTTTAAGAAATACAAAGTACAAATAAATTTAAAAAATCAAACCCAGCCACTACGAGGAAGGTCAGGGCACAATAATCAAGAGTTTATTCTGCAGAAATGCAGAATTTTAAGCCAACAAGGGTGCAAATAAGATGTCTTTCTTCCCTTACCCTTCCTCTCTTATTCTATCTACCTGAAACTTTTAACTCTTTTGACGGAGCTTGTGGATGGAAAAAAAGAAGCAGCTGCACAGATTTGGGAAAGAAACGGCCATTTTTCTGGGCTTGGCTATCACGAGGCCTGTAAACCCAATGCCACCCCCCAAAAAAATAATATTATTTGGCCTGGGCTTTTCAAATGGATTTGCAGACTTTGTACCCCCCCTCTTCTCTTTTCAACGGACAAAGCTGAATTTCAGTATTTAACTCCCTATCCCCTATTTTGATCCGATTTAAAATAATAACTGTTTGCATCCAGAAGCTGCAGTCATTTGGTTAGTACAGGGGTAGGCAACCTTGGCTCTTTTATGACGCGTGGACTTCAACTCCCAGAATTCCTGGCTCAGGAATTCTGGGAGTTGAAGTCCACGCGTCATAAAAGAGCCAAGGTTGCCTACCCCTGGATTTAGTATGTTAGTATTTTTCTTCAATTCATACACTTAGTATGATAATTTTACACTGTTCTTGGCTCAGTGAGCACGTTTAGACCTTAACATAAGCTATTTTTCTAAATGCAAAAAAAGGAATAAGTGAAGAAGAAAAGCATCGTCCTGGGAATTTTAGCATTGAAGTGCTTTGGGGGGGGGGGGAATAAAAAAATAACAACAGACTTCTTTTTAAAAAAACAAAAAACCCTGAGATTTATTAAAGAAAAAAATGTATTTTATGTTATATATAAATATATTATTACTTGTAAATACAAAGACGTTTTATAAGCATCATTATTTATGTATTGTGCAATGTGTATAAACCAGAAAAATAAGAAAAGATGCACTTTGCTTTAATATAAATGCAAATAACAAAATGCCAAATTAAAAAAAAAAGAGAGATAAAAATTTAACGATTGGTGGCGATTTTTCTCTTACGGGTGTCCTGTTTTGTAGCCTGTGCTTGAAAGGGCAATGGATCTGGTTGGGCACAAGGCTAGGTGATGTGTGTGTGTGTGTGTGTGTGTGTGTGTGTGTGTGTGTGAGAGAGAGAGAGAGAGAGAGAGAGAGAGAGAGAGAGAAAGAAAAAAAGAAAGAGAGAGAAAGAAAGAAAGAAAGATGGTTATTTCCAAGGATTTCCATTTCTCATCAACCTAGAAACTTAAACCAGGGGTCTTCCAACTTGGCCCTTTTATGATTGGTGGACTTCAACTCCCAGAATTCCTCAGTCGGCCATTTTGATGAAACTGCAGGCTTGGATCCAGACCAGGGGTCTTCAAACTTGGCCCTTTGATGACTGGTGGATTTCAACTCCCAGAATTCCTCAGTCGGCCATTTTGATGAAACTGGGGGCTTGGATCCAGACCAGGGGTCTTCCAACTCGGCCCTTTTATGACTGGTGGACTTCAACTCCCAGAATTCCTCAGTCGGCCATTTTGATGAAACTGGGGGCTTGGATCCAGACCAGGGGTCTTCCAACTCGGCCCTTTTATGACTGGTGGACTTCAACTCCCAGAATTCCTCAGCCAGTCTTAAAGTGGCCAAGTTTGACTGAAAAAAGTGTACTTAACAACCATTTTTCACGCTTTATGACCCTTGCAGCAGAAGCCCCATGGTCACGTGATCAAAATTTAAGACGCTTGGCAACTGACTCGTGATGGTTGCAGCGTCCCGGGGGTGTGTTTGTGTGTCACCTGATCCCTTTTTGTGACCTTCCGACAAGCAACGTGCAATCCAGATTCACTTAACCACCAGGTTACTAACTTAACAACTTGAGGGATTCACTTAACAACCGGGGCAAGAAATGTCGCAAAATGGGGCAAAAACTCACTTAACAAACGTCTGAGCAACAGGAATTTTGGATCCAATCGTCGTCAGTTGAGGCTTACCTGCATTCAGAAAAAAAACTTATTTTTTTGTGGCCAGACATTTTTTCCCATTTTTCTAAAAAAACTGGGAACCTAAATACTAATGCTGCTTTTGCAAAGGAAGCACAAAGTCGTCAGGCGTTGCTCAAGGTTTATAGTCTGCAATTCTTTCCAAAACTCCTGGGCAAAAAAACAGGAAGATAACCCTGATAAGGCTGTTTTCAGGGCAGTCCCAGCCCAGCTTTGAAATCCAAGAATGCATTTTGCTTTTTCCCTCTGGGGGTCGGCTGACATTTATTTTCAGAAGGGAAAAAAATTCAGCTCCTGCCTCTTCTTCGCTGACTTTTCGACCTGGAGATTGGTGGCATCCACAAGGCTGCAAAACAATAAAGGTGTCACACTGCACAATAAAACCTGCGTAAAGGACAAACAAGGTCAGCCGGATTTAAGAGCAGTTGCAGTTTTCATGTTGTCCGGCTTCTGAAAAAGTCTCCAGCAAAGTCTCCAGCGCTTGTCCAGGTTATAATTAAAGGAGGCCTCTAAATGTCTAGTTTAGCGTAGGGGGTTCAAGGCACCAGGTAAGTTACCTGGAGATTTAGTCCTGCCTTGAGGCACGAAGCCAGCTGGGTTATTTGGGGCCAGGCCCTTCCCTTCCAGCCATAGGAAGGAGAAGAGGACGGCAAGCAACTTTTGAACAGGTTGCCAAGAAAACTGCAGGGACCTATCCAGGGGTCCAGCCTGATCTGAAGGCGCCAAAATAGCTAACTAGCACAGAGTAATGAAACGGCACAATTATAAATAAAGAGCTGTGGTGCCGCAGTGGCTAGAATGCAGTTATTGCAGGCTAACTCGCTGCTCGCTGCCAGGAGTTCGATCCTGACGGGGCTCAAGGTTGACTCGGCCTTCTGTCCTTCCGAGGTCGGTGAAATGAGGACCCAGATTGTGGGAGGCAAATAGGCTGACTCTGTAAACCGCTTAGAGAGGGCTGCATAGCACTGCGAAGCGGCATATAAGTCCCAACTGTCATTGCTATTTATAAAATTTGTACGGCCACCTCACTCGCTCAAAGAGACTCTGGGCGGTTTATAGAAATGAAACCCGAATACAAAACTCAATAAATGTCCTTGGTGATAACCATCAAACCAACCACTTGCCTGGCTGAGGAATTCTGGGAGTTGAAGTCCACAAGTCATAAAAGGGCCAAGTTTGAAGACCCCTCCTTTGGAGAATAGCTTGTGACCCCCTCTTCTTCTTTGTGGCAGCCCCTCAGATACTGTTATGCTGC